ACAGATTTGGCAATAGGATGCAGTGCCAAGCAGTGGCCAGCAAAGAAAACAGGATATTATCCTGCATTATCCCATTTTGGCAAGGGATAAAAACATAATGTTACCACTTTATAAATCACTGGTTCGGCCTCACCTTAAATATGGGGTTCAGTTTTGCTCACTAGCTCTCTGGAAAGATGTTCTTGAGCTTGAGATGAGTTCAGAGAAGGTCTACAAAATTAATAAAGGAGGTTGAAGGGCCTGAGCTATGAAGATCAACCTCAAGAAATTAAATTTGTTCTCCTTAGAAAAGAGGCGCTTGAGGGGGGACCGAATTGCTATTTTCAAAATCATAAATGGGGACCACAATATTCGGAATAGGATGTTTACACCAAGAACTATACTAATAACGCGACGACACAGCAAGAGATTAGACTTCATAGGGTTTTTTTTGTACTGTGCAAGTAGTAACAATTTGGTATTACACTCCAAAGTCAGTATCTGCTGATAGCATTGATAAATTCAAGAAACATTTAGATGAGTTCCTTGAGTTCTTAAATATACAGGGATATGGGAACTAACAGAACCAAGCAAATGCATACTAGTTTCACCTTTTAAGTTGCATTAGTGAAATAAATGAACTTTGCACGATATTCTAATTATTCGAGTTTCACCTGTAGATGGACCTGTGTCTTTATTCAACCTTAACTACTATGTTACAATGTTACTATATAAAAATGTATGATTAGGACAATGATTACAAGCTATCCCACAAAGTATATAAATAATTAAATGGATTTTTGTACTTACCCAAAAACTAATTTTTTGGAGTTCATTGATGGACACAGGGATCAGATACAACTCACAGTATAACCCTTCTCACTCCCAGTGTGCCTCAGTTTTGTAGAAAATCAATGCCAGTAACAAATCATAGACTTAGAGGGGTTGGACCTGTGCCCCCTAATGAACTCCAAGAAATTGATTTTACGTAATAATATTTTTCATTAAGTATAAAAATCCAGTTTTCTTTCTAATTTATTGATGGATACAGAATTCAGAGACAATTGGAATGTCCTAAAGCAGTCCAAATGAGTGGTGGGCAACAGCAAAAAAAAAACAATAACAGGCCCACATAACAACAACAAAACTTAGGGTTGGCTGCAGAGCTGCCTGAAGTGCCTTACACCTAACGCTGACATCAGATGAGACTTGACCCTCAACCTGTTAAAACGTAGAAAACCCGTGAAAAGAAAACCAGGTCAAGGCCTGCACATCTGGGAAAGAGAAGCCTGATTTTGACAAGCTCAAAAAACACTTACAGATCTGGTAGATTGTGCCTTAACAGTAAAGGTTGGAACCTCATCCTTAAGGCTATTTGGTGTAATAATGATCTGTCTCAGCCACTGTGAAATGTTGGAAAGAGAAGCAGGTTTCCTTGGGGACCAATTATATGGGGACCATAAAGAACAATAAAGAGAAAGTAGTTTTTTCGAATGGAAGCAGTTGCTGTGAGATAAATATGTGCATGTACCACATCCAGACAATTGAGGGGAAATATCCTTCTGATGCACTGGAGCTGGACTGAAGAACAATGTCCTAGTTGAGATAAAAGGCTGAAACTTCCTTGGGAAGGAAAAAGACTCTGGGTCTTAACACCTGGTTCTTATGTGGTGTCTTTTGTGGTGGTCCAAAAGGTTCTTGCAGGACAAGGCCACCAACTCAGAAACACATCTTGCAAAGATGATGGTGACAAGGATGTCAACCTTGCGAGTAATAGTGGAAAGTGGAACACCCCTGAATAGGTTCAAAGGGCAGTTATTGAAGAGCTCAAAGCTCTTTTTTGCATGTCTGTTGTGCAGCCCAGCATTTTCTCTGCATGTTCACTACGGACAATGAGATGGGGGGATAACTACTAACCCATCAAAACAATAGTCTAGGGTTGTGGAGCTCAAAATGTTCTACAAACAGGGCTTATGTTTGTAGGGAAACAGCATCCCACCTTATGGCCCACAGTAGGAATAGACCAGGGGCAATATCATCCATTAAGGGTTTCTGAGACTTCTTATTGGATAGAGTGTATGCGGCAGAAAGTTCAGAGGTTGCTAAAGCTACTGACACATCACATATTGATTATGCACGGAAGGGTGTGGAAGTACACTTTTTCTCACTGCAGTGAGAGCCAGCAAACAAGGTTGCAATTTTTCAGATGAAATCCTCTCAGTAGAGAACCAATAAGGAGACATGTCCAAAGGAGCTAAGGAAGACTCAAATTGTAGGGACTCAAGCAGAGGATGACATTCCAGGCTGTCGATGTCAGAGCACACTGCATGCTGACCCTCTGCAACTAGTGGATTGAGATTTGATAGGGCCTGTTACAGTGCGACTGCTACCTATTTGTCTGGGATCCAACATGTTGCATTGCCAGGCAGGGACAACACAGCTCAGGGTAGAGGATTACTCTTTATGGACAACAAAGACCATATCTGACATATCCGTCTGGATGTCGCAACACTTCTTAAAACTAAATCTTTCAAAAACTGAGCTCTTGATATTCCCTCCTGCCCGTGTACCTTCCCCCAACTTTAACACAACTATCCACCCCTCCTCCCATGCCAAGGTGTCATCCTTGACTCGTACCTCACCTTTCTTCACCACATCCAATCGCTATCCAAATCCTGCCGCCTTCACCTTCGTAACATCTCCAAAATACGCCCCTTCCTCACCAAAGAAACCGCAAAATGACTCATCCACTCCCTTGTTATATCTCGTCTTGACTATTGCAACTCCCTCCTCATTGGCCTTCCACTACACAGGCTATTCCCCCTTCAGTCTATCATAATTGCAGCTGCCAGACTCATTCACTTAACCAACCGTTCAGCATCTGCAACCCCCCTCTGTCAATCCCTGCACTGGCTTCCACTCGCCCATAGGATAAAATTCTAAATATGAACAATCACTTACAAAGCCATCCACAACTCCGCCCCCGGCTATATCTCAAACCTGGTCTCAAAGTATTACCCTAACCATCCCCTCTGCTCCTCCCAAGACCTCCTGCTTTCCAGCTCCCTTGTCAACTCCTCCCATGCTTGCCTCCAGGGCTTCTCTATAGTCTCTCCCATCCTCTGGAACTCTTTACCCAAACCTGTCCGTCTGTCACCCACCTTGACTGCCTTTAGGCATTCCCTAAAGACTCATCTCTTCAGGGAAGCCTATCCCACCTCAACCTAACCGCTCAACCATCACGTTCTCAAACAATTCATTCCCACACAGCTCCCTCCTCATGTATCACTTCCCCCTCCCTTTTAGATTGTAAGCCCTCACGGGCAGGACCCTCCTTACCATCTTGTCTTGATTTCTATTGTGATTGTAATGTCTTCCTTATATTGTAAAGCGATGCACAAACTGTTGGCGCTATATAAATCCTGTATAATAATAAGCCCTATGTCACTTGAAATTAGAAGCAGTGGTGGGAGATGTTACTTCATACTAAATTGGCGAGAACAAGAGTGCGGAAGAGTGCAACATTCCCCCTAACTAAGCATGTTATTGTGCAGCAGTTTAAGGTTATCCCTTTTAATGTAAAATTACTTCCCTAATAGTTAGGTAACTCCTGGTGCACAGCCCACACAGCCTACTCACAAGGTGGATCATTAGAGACTGGGTCTCCATGGATGACTAACACAGTACACTCAGGTCTGCAGAGTTCCAGAATATAGAACTCAGCCCCCTAAGCAACATTCCAGGTTAGCTCTGCAATCATTTAGTCCTGCAGGGTCCAGATGTGGCCTCCACAACTATTGCTGAGGATACAATGATCTAGATAGCTGAGTATAGAGGCTAATGCAGTGTGTTGGGAAATCATGATGAAAGAAGAAAATAATTTCTTGAAGGAAAAAGGAAAAAATGGCTAGTAAAATTTAATTAAACTTTTCTTAGCTTAGAAAAATAATCCAGCCTCCTAGGACACTAGAAAAAACTGAGGCATGCTGGGAGTGGGAGGAATTATAACCTGGTATGTTTTTTGTTTGCCAGTGTCAAAATCCTCCATTAGATTGCTGTATAACCCAATTATCTCTGAAGCCTTCTGTCCATCAATGAATGAGAAAGAAAATGGGTTACAAAAATTATATATTTTGTCTTTATTAAAGCAATACACATTTAAAAGCTGAGTGATAAATCACTGTAATAACGCATGACAAAAGTAAATATCCAATAAATATCAATTTAACTGACAGGCAATTCAAATAATCAACTCATATAAGCCATATTATGGCAACAGTGGTTATTTCAGGTTCATAATGAAGGTAATCTTAATAAGCCATCACGCAACATTTAAAAATCCTAATTAGAAAAGATGCTGCAGTTGAATATTTGCATTCTCTTGCTGCACATGCCATTTAAGATATATCTTGGATTCGACTGCAAACATAGGCAGAAGCCATTAGGTTGTTTTATTAAGTAAGGATAATTAATACATAGGAGAATAAAACCAATTAATTATATCCTTAAAAAACTACATTCAGTGTATTGCCTCCAATGCTCAGAATGCATGATTATTTATATCTAAAAGAATAATCCAAAAACAAATGACAAGAGTAATAGTATAGCAGTAAAACAATAGGTGTAGGGGAAGTTATATTCTGTGTGCTATTTGGCATAGGCTTAAGGTAAAACAGTCAATACCGGGCAGGTGAATAATGTGATAATAAAAATTAATAAGCAGACATTGCCTTCAGTAGAAAAAGTGATAACTAGCAGTAATCTTGACTTTTCTGTAAAAAGTTGAACCTGGCACCACTCTTCTAACCACAAAGCCTCTTTATTGGTCCTTTAATGTGAAGAGTGGCATCAAAGGTCAATAGGGAGGCTCTAGTAACAAGAGAAAAGTGATGAGTCAAGATTAACTTTCCTAGATTTGTGACAGGTTCACTTTTATGTGTTCACTAGTAGTATTTTTTAGATACAGCAGTCTCCTTCGAGATACTTTATATAATCTAACACATATAGAATAAAGGACTTACGTTTTTACATAGGGGTCGGAATACCCATTGGCATCCATAGCTGCTAGATGAGCACATCTCATAATGCCTACCAGGAGCCCTGACTTTTGTGAGCTGTATTTTAAGGATATAAGAATTCTTCCACGTTCCTCCAAAGATTTATCTTCTGTTTTATCTATCTGTAGGTAGAAACACAAATGTTAATAGCATATAAAAAAGTTCATGCACAGCTGTCACAACACAAAACTCAATATCCAGGGAAATTCTCTTTGTAAGTACAGAGATTATGAAAGATCCTGACATCCATTTAGCATCTGGCTTATTTGTGCAATTTAGGGTTATTATAGTTCTTTCCCTTGATGTTAGCACAAAATAATAATTATTGATGTTGATTAAGCTAAAGGAGATATTTAACAGAGATTGCTTTAGCTGTCTCTGCCAATTGTTTATAAAGAATAAGAACAATACAGCATTGTTTAAAAATAAAAACAATTAAAGTAGGTAACAAAATTACCAGGCTCTTGTTAAACAGAATCCACAGTACTCTTTTGGGTGTACAGTGTTATGCAAAATTTTGACTACTCCTGGCCAAATCACATGAATGCTGATTTTCTCGAGGAAAACAAGTTCATACAAACTCTGCAGGGAATGAACGCAAACATGACAGGGTTATGCAAATGTAATGCACAATTGTAATTTCTTTCTTTCTTTATTCTATTTCTTTATTTACTTATTTTATAACAGTCGGGAAAAAATAGAACATGCCATTTATTTTATCTCCTCTGCTATACATGTGCATTCTAAGATTTATTTGCTTTTGCAGCCATTGCTTGGCATTGAGTGTTTACCCTTAACTAGAATTAATTTGTCAATAGTAAGTTTTTGTTAAGATGTTTTATGAGTTATGAGATACAGACTGTAAGGAACACTTCATTGGTTTGGACTGTGTGTGTAGGGTAGTGCTATTCAGGGCTGGAGTGCCATGTTTGAATGTAAAAAATAAAAAAGTGCAGATGGGGAGCAGAGTTAGCGTACAGGAAATACTGGAGGAAGGAGTAGGGCAAGGGGAGGTCGGGAGGGAGAAAAAGGAAAGGGGCCTCCACTTGGTGGGTGCCCACCCCCATTAAGATGATAGAGAAAAAAAATAGCAATATCCAAGAGTGTAGGAAATGGGTCCAGGGGCTGCAGACTTGATAAGTGTCTTGAAAAAGAGCAGTAAGTTCCTCCACCCTCATAGGCTGGTTAAGTTCTAGAACACTTAAAATAGAACACGTTCACAAAATACAGAAGGGTGAGAAGAACCATGGTGTGCCAGAACATTTCAGAAACCATCATAATAGACACCCTGAGGAATGACAATTCCTATCCAATTCCAATTCCAAAAACATTTAAGGATTGGTACAGTGCAATATATTAAATTTGTGTTTTTTTTTATTAGATATGCTTTAATATCAGTTATTATTTGTGACATAACAGGTTTCATGTGATTTTATAGCATAATACAGTCTCCTATCATTTCTTCTGGACGGTTGGCAATCTACAATTTAATTTTTGTGGTCTTTTTATTGTGAATTTAATATAATAAGTTGCAATGTGTTTTGCCATTTTATCATCAGTAGAATAATTATTTATTTTATTTATGTAATTAATATTGGACCATAGAGTTAAAATAATCATGGAAAAAAAGGGTTGTCTATATTATTTAAAGGTAGTTTTCTGCTAGATCCCTCCACCCCAATGAAGAATGTTGAACTTTTGTAACGTGTTGGTATAGAGGAGTGGAGCGCTACAGAGACTGGTTACCACATGAGCCTGTTGGCCTCTAGTGGAAGTTCTTCATGGGGACAGTGTTTCTGATAAGCCTGTAGTACTCATAGCGTAGTGAATATTATGGTCTTTTATGTATTAATATTGAACTCTAATAGCCATTTTCCAGCAGAGTAATGTCTCCCTTCACTTCCTGGAATAGTTTTCAACCCGTCACAGTTATGTGCAGAGAGATCCTGTGCTTGTGAACTCACAGATCTGTAAATTAATTTATGAAATCTAACGTGGTTTTGTAAATTCATGCATATCTCTGTATCTGTCTCTTTGTACAAGCTCATCTGTTAAAGAATGAAAATACTTTTCCAACGAGATCTCGCAGTTTACTTGTTTTCTCGTGGGATCTCCCTGGAAGGCACTGTAGCCATTCCAGGGGGCAGCTGTTAGGCCCTGGCTACGTCATCCGCGGCGCACTATACAAAGAAGTGGATAATTTTTTTCTTTTTTTCAAGATGATTAGGAATAAGCATGCAGAGTTCCATGCTCCAGGTTTTTTGGGGTGAAAATGTGCATTATTTAAAGGAAGTAGTATGCTGCTTGCTCCCCCTGATAAAGAAGGTTGAATCTCGAAATATGTTGGCGTTGAGGGAGAGTGGAGCACTGCAGAACTGCAGAAACTGGTTGTCATTGGTTACCACATGAGAGTTCCGGCCTCTAGTGAAATAATTTTGTGGGCTCGGTGTTTCAGAAAAGCCTGCAGTGCTCATAGCATTTTGAGTATAATGGTCTTTTATAACTATTGGAGGGGAAATTTCCAGTCTTCATGATTAGAATAATGAAGAATTGCCTGTAAAACTGTAAGAGAGACATTGGTGTTGTACAAATATTTGTAAAAAATAAATCAAGGCAACTGGACTTGCTGTATTTTTCTTGAAGATGTTTCACTGGTCATCCGACCAGCTTTCTCAATTCAGAATGACTCAATTCAGAATGTACAAAAATTATCTGGGAATCAATATGGTGAATAATGCTCCAATCAACATAATCTGCTAATCATAATCAGCATGGGGTCAGAGACCTCATGGAGGTAAGGTGTTTAAACCAGTCGGTCTCCCTGTCTAGGGTGCATACTTGACTGTCATCAAAGGAGTGACCTTTTTTTCTTTAGATGTAGGTACACTGCTGAATCCTGACCAGAGGTCTTAGCTGTTCTATGCTGTGCCATACACTGGTGTAACTGCTGTTTTGTTTCATCTGTTGTTCATCTCGCTTCTTTTCTAGTCCTAGTGGTTTTCCTTCTCTTTTCTACAGTGCTTTTTCTCAGATTCATGGTCCTGCTTTGCTGTATTGTTTTCTTCTACGTGTTTTTCTATGCACGGTAGTCGTTGGTCTGGGCTTATATGCCCCGGATTAGGTACTGTCTTTTTTGGATGCTACCGCCTGAGGGGAAGGATTTCTGGGACGCCCAAGTGGAACTGCCTAACGCAATACATACAAATTGTATCAACCTTGCTTTGTACCTGTCCCACCTATCCTGAGGTTATGCTGTCATGTGCCAAGTTCCACGACTTGTGCTCCCTATGCGTTTCCACTGATGTTGTACAATGGCTTTGCTGTTTGTATGTTGATCTTCACCTGTTTCTCTTTATAAAATCCTTAATAAAAACTTATTGAACTAAAGCAGACAGGGATGTGCTGTTTTTAAAAAGTCCTCCTGAGTTTCCCAGACACTCCATATGTAGCTGAAGATAGATAGATAGATAGATAGATAGATAGATAGATAGATAGATAGACTGTGTAAATACACATACATTACTGTATATGTATACACAGCAAGTCGGTCACATTTACATTTTGTATTTCAACATGGCTGTACACAATATAGTGTAAGATATTTAAAATACTGTTTCACTATATCCCCTTGTTCTTCAATATTAGTTTCTGTTCTCTCAGATTAACTGTCAAATCAGGGAGCCGCCTACTTTTCTGTCAGAGCCCCTGGAAATTCTTCACATCAGTGTTTAAATTAAAACTCTGTCCTCATTATCACATTTGAATTTCACTTCAATTTTAGAGCAGCCTTGCAGCTACAAGATTTAGATGGCTTTTGTAAAAATACAAACAGATTAAATGAATATTAAAACATGTTTGCTTTTCTCATGAAGTGAAATTGGCAAGGAAAATAGCACAACAAATGGACATTCCTTTCCTAATGATATCTAATAAAAATGATATATAATAAAAAATAAAAAGTAGGCTTTGTAGGAAAACCTTCTTAATGTGTAAAACACACAAATACACACACACCAAACCTCAAATTAGAATATGGCCAACATAAAAGGTACATGTTGGTCTTGGCACTTAATCAAATAATTGAAGTAGGAATGCTTTCTTCGCACCATTACACCCCCAAAATACTACAGGGGTGCTTTGGCGCATTGTTTCCAATACAAACCTGCACCAAAGGTGTGATTTCACATATTTTTATACACTTACTCCATCAGTTTATGGTCAATCACTTTGTCAAAAGTAGACAGGGTGGGAATTGCCCATGGTTCGAATGACAACTGGGATAGTCTGTTGCGAGAATTTCCAAACATGTCCCTCTCTACTTCTCATTGGTTAGCTCAGTTGTTCATCCTGCATAAAGTATATTGATCGTCAGAATTTTTTAACAAAATTGGCCCCAGGACTGATCTTGAGCCAATCAGGGTTCACTACTACACTTACTTTGGAGATGTCCAAAACTAGTTTGGTGCTAGAAAATGTTATCACAATTGTTCACCATGTTTTCTCTTCCACTCTAAAGAATACACAACTTATATGTATCTTGGCACTTTTTGATTCCTCTGCACTTGATGCTTATAATTTCCTGGCTAAATTGACTGCATTGCTTGCAGCAGGTAGGATGGTTGTCCTTAAATGTGTGTCTAATTGCCCCCTGCGTTAGAAGCATGGATGTCGGAACTAGACAGACAGTACATGTAAGGTTACATACCAGTCCAGAGGAATTACTACTAAGTATTTTTTACTATGGGATCACTGGCTGAATAAAGGTCCCCAGTAATGATACCCTTGCTCTCCTAAATCCTTTGTCATAAGAGGGGTTAGGAGTTAGGCATGAGTGATGTGCACTGTCCCTTGTTGTCCGCTAGACCTCCAATCACTTGTTTGCCCTATGTTAATTATAAATGTCCATATGCCAAGAACTACTTATACATGAGTATTCTGTTACTAGAATGGAATTATTGTTCTACCTCTGTCAAATGACTGCCTCTTCTGTGCTTTTATGTAATATCTGAAAATCACTACTTTTGACTATGACGAATGCAATGGATTTATTTTATCCGTTGCCTGTATTATTTGTGTCTTTTATAAGATTTTAAAAATAGTCAAAGCAAAGCATCTGATTAAAAAAAAAGACATGACGATAGGGCTAAAAGGTTCTGTTGTAGATAAGGACCTAGTAGGGCCAGGACTAGGTTCTACTGTAGATGGTGCCAAAGCACCCTTTAAATGTCAAAGGGAAGTCCCTTAATGAGCGATAAAGAAAATTATATATCCACAAGAAGAGGTGTGGCCTAGGAATCAGCATCAGCAGCCATGATCTGCACTTAGGTTGCCCTGTTACCTTTTTTAGCAATACAGTGTTAGACCGTAGGCCATATGTTGCAATAGGACACATAGGTGTGTAGCTATGGCAATGGGCACATAAGGTATATCTTACCAAAAAATATTAAGACATTGAAAGGGCAGCTGAACAAATGCTCCTTACTGCACAGATAATTCATTTTCATAGATCTTTGACTAGCGACGATCCTATTGACTCATCCTGTGCATCTTATGTTAGACTAGAGAGTTCACAGGGGTTCAGGGTCAGGATTAATCGCAAGTCCGACATTTAATAATGCAGCCCTTGATCTGTGTTATCCACATATACACACAGATGTTTAACTAGCAAAAGTGTTCCAATTCCACAACAGGAAAGGCTAGGGATATTTCAAACAATGCTAAAGAACTCTCTTAGTGAACAGTATTTGCAATATGTGCAGGATCAAAGTGCGGAGGGTATGAAAGTGAGCAGTAGACATGTGCGATTCGTTTCGTTACGAATCGAAATTCGGACGAATTTTCGGAAATTCGGACATTCGGATGTATCCGAATTCCGAATTACAGACATAACGAATGCAAACGAATCCGAATTTCCATTTCCGAAATTCGGTAGCGTTCGTACGAACGTTCGTTTCGTTTTCTGTTCTTATTCGTTTCTTATTCGTTTCGTTCGTTGGAGCAAAGTGACATTAGAAAAGGAGAAAAATATTTTTTCCCCCTCAAATGTCACTTTTGCTTCAAACGAACGAAACGAATAAGAAACGAATAAGAACAGAAAACGAAACGAACGTTCGTACTAACGCTACCGAATTTCGTCCGAATCCGAATTCCGAATCCGAATTGACTTTCACACCCGAATCCTGAAAAACGAAATAACACAAATCCGAATTTAAAACGAAACGAAACTAAACAAATTTTTTGGCAGTGCACATGTCTAGTGAGCAGTATGTGCAGAAGAGAAGCGTGAAGGATATGAAAGCTGGCAGTATCTGCTGGCAGTATCTGCATTTTGGCAGTGCACATGTCTAGTGAGCAGTATGTGCAGAAGAGAGCAGAAGGTATGACAGCGGGCACTATGTGCAGGAGAGAAGTGCCAAGGGTATGTCAGTGGGCGGTATGTACAGGAGAGGACAGCTGACAGTATATGCAGAAAAGCAGTGTAAAGGGTACTGTATGGCAGCAGGCAGTATATGCAGGAAAGGGGTGAGAAGGGAATTACAACTGGCAGCATTTCCAAAAGAAGAGTGCAGATGGTGTGACTGCAGACAGTGTTTGCAGGTGAGCAGTGCAGAAGGTTTGATGGGGTGGTATGTGTGGGAGAGGAGTGTGGAGAGTATAATGGGGTGCAGTGTGTGCAGGAGAGTATCGTGGGGACGTAACAGTGGACAGTGTGTGTGGTAGAGGGGTGCAGAGGGTATGACAGCAGGCAGTATATACAGGAAAAGAGTGCAGAGGATATGATGGAGGGCAATAGGTGAAGGGAAGGTGGGAGAGGTGTGTTTCATCATTACCATGGACTGTGAAGTTGGGTGGAGGACACTGAAACAAGCATAGTGTGTCAATTGAATTGGGGATACACTACTAAAGATTAGTAGTGTATCCCCAATTAGGATTAGCTGGGTACTGGCAGCTGAGAGATTAATGCACATAAACAGCAGACATAAACACAAGAATAGGTGCTAAGAAGAAGAAGCACATACACTGAGTACCAAATTCTCAGGGGTCAACCCATAATAGCTGGGTACTGGGTGCTGTGGGGTTAACATACATTCTGAAGACTGACCGTTGAGAGGATAATGCAAATGGGTTGAGGACTGGGCACTGAAAGGTTATCACATATATGCGGTGAATGGGCGATAGGGCTGGGAACTGGGCACTGAAGGGTTAATGCTTATATGCTGGGGACAGGTCACACAGGGGTTGATGCACATGCTCTTAAAGGGGAAAATGCACATACCATGCAGCCTGATCACTGAGTGGTTAATGCTTATAAGCTATGGCTAGGTGACTGAAGGGTTAAAGTTCATTCTTTTGGGGCTGATCACTGAGAGGTTAGTGCATATTGTATTACAGCCATGGATACAGGGAAGGGAGATGTGTGTGCAGGAGGCAGGATACAGAAGAAAGGCCAATCCTGACTACACACTGGGAAGCAATGAGACACTTTACTTCTGCAGAGTGGGGAGGGACCAGAGATTTCTGCTGAACTGAGCTTTACTCTGAGTGCTGAACATACAGAGTGTTAGTCTGAGCTCGGTGTGTATAATGTCTATGGGGAGAACATGGATGATGTTCATTATGCAGTTTGTGTGGTGGGAGTGTGTACAGACTGAGAAGTCTCTGGGGGTGAATCTGGAGAGCGTGTGCTGGAGGAGGGATACTGGGGAAAGAACAATGTGTGTGTGTGCTGAAGGGGAGTTAAAGGGGAAAGACCAATGTGTGTGTGCTGTAGGGGAGTAAAGAGGAAAGACCAATGTTTGTGCTGGAGGAGGGACACAGGGGAAAGTCTAATGTGTGTGTATGTGTTGGAGGAGGGATACAGGGGAAAGACCAATGTGTGTGTGCTGGAGGGGGGTTAAAGAGGAAAGACCAATGTGTTTGTGCTGGAGGGGGGTTAAAGAGGAAAGACCAATGTGTGTGCTGGGGGAGGGATACAGGGGAAAGACCGATGTGTATGTGCTGGAGGAGGAATACAGGTGAAAGACCAATGTATGTGTACTGGATGAGGGATGCAGGAGAAAGATCAATATGTGTGTCTGTACTGGAGGAGGGATACAGGGGAAAGACCAATGTGTGTGTGATGGAGGTGGGATACAGAGAAACACCAATGTGTTTGTGTGTGTGCTGGAGGAGGGATACAAGGTAAAGACCAATGTGTGTCTGTACCAGAGAAGGGATACAGGGGAGGGACCATTGTGCGTGCTGGAGGAGGGATACAGGGGAAAAAGTGATGCGTGTGTGTGCTGGGAATTTTATTGGGGAAAGACCATTGTAAGTGCTGGAGGTGTGATGTCACTGGGACCAGGAAAAGGTTGATTTGCACAGTGGCAAAGTAAAAGTAGAACTTAGGAATTATATCATATAAGATAGGATAGAACAAAAAAGAAAAGGATAGGATTTGTTATAACAGACTCCCTAATGGGGCTCCCTCCCAACACTTGGCCCCACAGCATCCTGGAGCTGTTATGGCTGTAGTTACATCACTTTTTTTTATTGATGTTTTGACTTATAGCGGTCCTTGAAGGAGCATTGGCATTTGAGTTAAAACTGGACACTGTGGAATACTTCAGTATTTCGATTTGCAGATGGCCCATCTGTGTGTTGTGGTTTGGGTGTATTGTTTATATCACTGATAAGAATAGATTAAGCTAAATCTATGCAGGCTCATAGGAAGCAGCCATTCTCTACTTCTGGACTGCAAGCTATAGGCCACCGCTCTTACTTTCAGTGCACCACAAGTTTAGGAATGGCTGCTTCTATCAGACCTTCCACATGTTTTCGCTTGGGACAGACTTACCCAGATAGTGACACTTATTTTACCATTGGTCATAGGATTAAAATGACACTAGTATGTAAACTGCACCAGACCAACTGAAAAAAAAAATCACAAAGATTACTTACAGGTAGCTGTTTTTCTAGACAGATGCTAAAATTTTTGGTTTGATTGGGCTTCAGTTTTTTCAGAGGAATTCTTGTTTCACCGATGAACTCATTGTGGCGGAATTTATCCTCATCACATACTGAAATTCTAGACGACAAAAAGAGAGAACAAATATAAGCAACTCTTTTGACATTGTGCATAAATGTTTCAATTTTTCACGCTAAAGATAAACATATTACTCTACTAAAAGAAAATATCATGTCATTAAGTATCCATGAATTAACGTGAAAGCAATCAGCGCACTAGAAACATGAAATGAGGCAGAAAATAACACAAAGGAAAAACACTCAGAAGGGAGATGATACCTATAGAAGCCAAGATCCCACAGAGAGCAAAGTAAAAATGCAAAAGTCCTGATACATTCTGTTTATATACACCAAACAGAAGTAAATCATTCAGGAGTACATTTTAATCTCCTTTAATAGACTATGTAGTTTCGAGTCACATTTTTATTGTAGTTTAGATTTTAATAACTAAAATGCATATTATTATTATACAGGATTTATATAGAGCCAACAGTTTGCACAATGCTTTACATATGAAGAGATATCTAGAAAGAGATATCTAAAAAGAGTAACCACTGTGATCTATTACATCAGAAAGTATAGGTAGCATTAGCCCTGCACTTTGTGAAAAGCAAATATTGTCTAAATGCAAAAGGCACGTGTACTTAAATCTTGGTGTGCTTTGTGTATTTCCAGATCCGTGCAGTAATCAAGTATAAAACTCTGTGTAAGAGCTTCTTCTAACAAAGACCGGTCATTACTGCTCTCTCCCTGTGCAGGGTGTCTGGTCTTGTATCCACCCCTCCTGTAGTTTTCTGTAGGCAGCCTGTAGTGGGTCCCTCCCACAGATCTGCTCTCTGTACATACTATGTAGCACAGTGACTTGTACCTTAATAAAACAATTAGTCTCTACAACAATTACCTTTAGTGTCCACCTAAACACATCTAACCAATACACGTTCATTCCTATCAGTTAAAGTACATTGTAGATTCCTAGTAACTGGCACACTTTTCTTATGGCTTATGTGTAATGAGTTAGAACACAGTGGGTCATCAAAGGAATCAACGATAAATCAAATAGATCGTCACCAATTAGAGATTTCATAATAGTTAATATTTCAAAGCAATTAGTGCTAGCAAATAGTAGCTGTGACCAAATTACAAACAGAGTAATGGTTTTATGGAAGTGAAGAGGGAATATGCAAATACATCCAATATTTCAACGGGGTTTGGACATTAAAAAATATACGACTAGAATATGATCATTTAGCTGCTTTGTAAATATGACTCACAATGTAAGAAGGAAATCAATGTTATTGATTTGATGGTCTATATGGAAGAAAAGAGAAAAAGTATTTTCTTTTGAACAATAAGTTAATCAAAGATGATGCATTGATGATTACTTTTAATAATAGCATTCATTTGATGTGTCTGATCATTTGCAGCCACTTTCTAGATGTTTTTCTGTATAGGAATTACTTTTATCCACTGCATTTTCAATTAAAATTTCCTCATGCATAGATTAATTCTCATTGCTCTGTTTGTGAAATACCAATTTACAATGAACAAAAACATACCCTCCGCTATCCATCTGTGAATTCTACATTATTATAATTCAAGTCAACCACACATAAAGGACTAATTACAGTTATTTGTGATGACTTTATGTCTTTGTTCTCATATTATTTGTATGAATGGTTTTGTATGGATCATTTATTAGCATCACATCCTGTGCACACTCTAGATCAGCAAGCATACACCTGTCTTTTGAACTATTATTTTGATCAGTGGCTTTTCAATAATTTATAGCCATAATAGGATACATGTTTTAACTTTTGATAATATTGATAACGTCTGATTTAAGGTGTGTTTATTGCCAAATTATTAGTTTTCGTTTTTGACAGAGTGAGGAAGCTCTTGGGTTTTTGATTCCATGTCCTAACTGTGGAGAATTACCCTCTCCATTTGTCCTGATGACCAATGTGAGGGAAAATCCAAAATGTAAAGTTGTCTCTGGAACAAGAATAGAGGATAAATCTTCCAATGGGGACTCTTATACAATGATAACTGTTTAATGGGGGGATTGCCTTTATTTTACAGATATTTCTTCTTACTTCCTAAACAAAAAAACATGACTGTGGTTTTGAGTATTCCCTACTCATCCAAACCTGATAAAAATTATTTTTAAAAAGGGTAATAAAAAGCATTTGACCTTGCATTTGTCATCATAGTCTTCTGTTATGTCACAAATGGTACATAAATATTGGGAAACTTTGTAGAAGGGTATACAGTATATGCATATTGCTTATCCATACTTATTAGTAGAATACTTATCAATGAACATGTATGGACTGACAAAGCACCTCAATGGCCCAGAACGCACCTGCATCGGCAAGGTGTGTTGAAGTGCCATTCAGAAGGAAAGTTGCTGCATAGCACCATTGCAAGCAACATATGGTGCCTTGCTTTACAGTAAAGTACACCATAGGTAACATGTCCCCCACAGGTTTTATCTTTTGCAATGTATTATTAAGTGAAAGAAATTGTCTCTTAGTGCTAGTTTACATTTCTATTTTAATACAATTGCTTGCAGTAACTTAAAATCTGCCTGATAGAGAGAGAGCAGATAAGCTTAATGAAATGCACTTTTTATTATGCTGAGTGATTGAAAATTCACTGTTGTCCATCCAATATTCTTTCATATTTTTGTCTGTCCAATGACTTTGCATTAACCTTGGCTGTCTGTAAAAGCACAATCATATGCATCCAATTAAACAAAAATCCATAATTGTCTGTAGCAGTAAGGAGGGAACATTAAATAGCACTTAATGTGCAAATAGCACTGTATTATTAAGCCCTGTGGTGAGTAAGAGCATGACTAGTAAGAGCCTGTCTAGCCACTTTGGCAAACCTCTTTATCACGATAGCTTTGTCATGGCAGCATACTAGTTTAAAAAAGAAATCCTTTCTGGTCATTCTGTAGTAATTTTTACATTTTATGTAGCCACCTTGCCCTAAGCAGAGTGACTCCTTAAATTTAGTTCTGCTGGACTGTAGCCAGTCTAAGCTGATTTAATTGTTCTATGCTCATTTGGTTTCCCCTAAGCTCACTGTTATCATTTGTATCTGCCTCCTGCTGTGTGTGACCTTGCAATAGAGTCAAACATCCAATAATGTTGTGTTTTGAATAGGTGTGTATCCCTAGCCAACAACTAGGAGGTCCATGGCCAGTGTTGCATGCTGGGAAAAAGACATACATTGAGTGAGTGTTTTTTATCCCCCTGGGCTCCTGCCTAGGGGAGGATGCATGTTGTTCTGCACAACTTGGCCAGGGAAAAGCTTGCAGGTTGTCAGGAGTAGAGGCCCAGTGTCAGGGCCTAAAGTTTTCCTGCCTGTGAAGGGGGAAGCTGTTCTTTGAAAGGAGCACCAGGGAGGAACTTCATCTGCAGGAGGTGCCAGAGAAGCTGGAATTTGGCTTGGATCTTGCAGGGAGTCTGGTAATTCGCCCAGGGAGTTCTGTGCTCTGTTTGCTAACTAGCTAAAGTTCTGCTGTACACAGTGTTGCCGCAATTGGCTTAAAGGCTCTCTAAACTATGAGCTCGGGAAGTAGTCAGTGAGTCTGGATTCTGTACTGTCCTAGGTGTCTGTAGCCCTTATCCCTCTCTCCCATCTGAGCTGTCGGAGGAATAAAATCTTTGATAACCCTGGCATCCAACTTTCCATTCACATTCCACAACCGGCTAAGGAGGTGAAATATCAGCCCACCCTGCCTCTGGGGTCCCGCACTTGATCCTGTAGGTGCTATATTTATGTATTGAAAGGTACCCTTAAATCTTCAAGCCAAATTATGTGCTTGGTCCTGCTATATGTGGTTAATCCTCCTAGTGGATATGCTGTCACTGGTTTTTACTTGGGTAAAGGAAAAGCAGAGAAGGTGGATGATTAAAGTTTGTCTGAGAGTAATTGAAATCAATATTGTGAATTTCCTGCTTTAGTCCACATCCCAATAGACAGGACATGGAAGCAATAATGAAGCAGTAGAGATAAACTATAGCACAATATTAAATCCTGTACAAACAAAACACATTGCGCCCAATAGTCACATTTCCCCCTAACTACTGAAGAAAAGGAGAACAAATCTTATGTTTTTATTTATTAGCTTAGCTGCTTTGCTAATACTAGTGCAAAAAGGCTACAAGTAATATTTGCATACTTAAAGTAGTACTAACTTTAGGACTGGTAGGAATTTAGACCCTTTAGAACTGGTAGGAATGTTAAGGGAGTACCCCAGCCCCCCAAAAATGTGGACAAAAATGTGGGGTCCCCCCTAACAGTCTTACCAGACCCTTGATCCAAGCACTGGCCCGGCAGGGCAGGAAAGGGGGGGGGGAACGATCGAGCGCCCCCCCTCCCTGCGCCTTACCAGGCCATGTGCCCTCGGCATTGGGAGGGTGTCCTCATGCCGATGGGGACAAGGGCCTCTTCCCCACAACCCTGACCCAGTGGTTGTGGGGGTCTGCGGCCAAGGGGGGCTTATTTGCATCGGGGTACCCCTTTAAATAAGGGGGCACCCAGATGCCGCCCGCCCCTTGTGAATGAGTAATGTGTACTTGTACCCCTACCCATTCACTAAAGGGTTAAATCAAATAGTTAGTAAAAAGCCCAGACTTTTGATAAAATCCTTTAATTGAAAAAAACTGTCCATTTTTGACTATTCCTTTAATTAAAAAAAAAATGGCTCCATCTATTACATTAACTACCTCCGGCCTGCCCGGAGGTAGTTAATGTAATAAGAAATATTTTGCAAAGATGAGTGATGACTAAAGATGGTATATCACTCATTTTGCCAGAAACTGATGCATCAGGGTCCATGAATCAAAGCGGTCATAAAAATATGTCACTATTGTAGGCATAAAATAACCTTTTATTCTTCATGATGTAAATCTTTTACCCCATACTACAAACTCCCTGTTACTAACATTATTGAAATATGTTTTTTTAATTATATAGGCTAATTTGCCATAATATTTGATGAATTTTAGCTTTCACATTGATTTTTAAGTTTTATTTATTACAGTTTGT